TTTTTTTATTACATTTTGAATTTATTGGCTGTTATTATGTTATTGAGAGTTGTTATATCTTCTTGATTTAGTATTGGTAATTTGTACCTTTCTAGGAATCTGTCCATTTCTTCAGTGTCTTCTATTCTGTGAGAGTAAAGATTCTCAAAGTAGCTATTGATAACCTTCTGAATTTCCACTTGGTCTGTGGTAATTACACCCTTTTCATTCCTTATTGCTTGTATTTGAATTTTTTCTTTCCTCTTTTCGATGAGGTTAACTAGGGGCTTATCGATTTTATTTAATTTTTCAAAGAACCAGCTTTTTGCTGTTTTAATTCTTTGAACTGTTTTATTCATCTCAATTGAATTAATTTCTGCTCTAATCTTTATGATTTCTTCCCATCTTTGGGCTTTGGGTTTGGTTTGCTCTTCCTCTTCTAGATGTTGGAAGTGCAACATTAGAGTGTTTATATGTTCCTGTTCTGTTTTCTTAATGTATGAATTCACAGCTATAAATTTCCCTCTACGAAATGCTTTCATAGAATCCTATAAATTCTGATATAATGTCCTTGAATTTTCATTGAATTGTAGATACTGTTTAATTTCATCTGTGATCCATTGGTTGCTGAGTAGAGTGTTGTTTAATTTCCATGTATTTATGGAATTTTTCTGATTTCTTTTGTCATTTATTTCCAGTTTAATTGCACGGTGATCAGATAATATGCATGGGATAATTTCTGCTTTCTTGTATATACTTAAGCATGACCTATGTATCACTATGTGTTCTATTTTAGATGACTCATGTGCAGCTGAAAAAATGTGTATTCAGCTCTGTTGAGATGGAACACTCTGTATATGTCCAATAAGTCCATGTGTTCCAAGCTCTGGTTCAGTTCTGCTACTTCTTTGCTAATTTTTTGTCTGTTTGACCTGTCTCTTTGGGATAAGGAGGTGTTAAGGTCTCCTGTTAAGATTGTGGTATTAGATATTAGATTTTTCATGTCCATTAAGAATTGTCTTATATACTTGGGTGCTCTGTGTTTGGTGCATACATATTTATGAGTGTTACCTCTTTCTCTTGATTTTTTTTCCCCTAACCAGTATATTGTGACCTTCTTTATTTCGTTTTATCATTCTTGGGTTGAAGTTGAGACTATCTGACAACAGGATTGCTATCCCTGCTTTTCTCTGAGGTGCTGGGGCTTGTAGTATTGTTTTCTATCCTTTGACTTTCAGCCTATGAATTTCTTTATGAGTTAAGTATGGTTCTTGTATATAGCATATTGTTTGGTTTTCTTTCCTAATCCACTGTGCCAGTCTATTTCTTTTAATTGGTGAATTAAGTCCATTTACATTGATTGTTATAATTGCAGTGTATTGACTTACAATCGACAAGTTATTTGCCTGGTGCTGTTTATTCCTTTTCCTCCTGTGTTTAATTGTTTGCCCTATTTAGTGGGTTCCTTCTGTTCTCATTCATGGAGTTCTGATCATTTTGGTCCCCTTCTA